AAGCCCTCAAGGGCTGGGAGCTCCATCTATCTCTCCAGCGCAGCCCAACTGGCCTCGCCACATAGGAATGGGCAGATGCCCACAGGCCCTCACCACCAAGGAGCACCGGCACCGCAAAAGGGAGGACATTCCAGAAAAAAGGAGAAGGCATGACCAAAGAAAAGCTCAAAGCTCTCCTAGAAATGTTAATGCAAGCTTCTGAGTCCTGCTCAATATGGAGGACATGACCAAAGAAGAGCTAAACCACTCCTAGGGATGTCAATGCATGCTTTTTAGTCATGCCCAAAAGGGAAGACATTGCAGGAAAATGGAGGGCATGACCAAATAAAAGCTAAACAGACTCTTAGAAATGTCAATGCATGTTTCTGAGTCCTGCTCAAAATGGAGGACCTTTGGGAATTCCTCCTGGACAGAAGGTGGAAATGGAGGGCAGGTCCTGGGAAAAGGAGGATGCCTGGTCAACCAGGGTGGGAGCCCCTTTCTCTCAAAAGGTGTTGTCAAAAGTAACACCTTTCCCCTGGAAGCTTCCCCCATCCCCACTGAGAGGAGGGCCAGCCAGTGTACATACCCGGAGGCGGAGGCACTCTTTTCCTTTTATGGCTTAAGGAACCCTGGACTTCTGGGTCCATATCCCAGTTCAAATGAAATCCTGGGCCCCCCGCCTAGACCTTTGGGTTGGTTCCTGTGAGTTAGCACAATAATTTTTTCCCCTTTTGTACACATGCAGGAACTGAGAAGAAAGTATTGAGTGTGGTAGAAAAATTATCTGAGGCAGCCACACTTCTTCCACTGCTCCTGCTACAGGTGTGTCTAAGGTTGCATCCACACTGCAGCAGTAATGCGGTTTGATCTCACTTTGATTGCCATGGCTCCGTGCTATGGAATTCTGGGGTGCTGCACCAAACCATGCTTCCCATAATTCCATAGCACAGAGCCATGGCAGTTAAAGTGGGATCAAACCACATTACAGCTGCAGTGCAGATGCAGCATTTCCTCCAGGTCAGCCCTGCCATTCCTCTCTCTTCCATAAGAAACCTGTGTTATGCCTTGCAAACCAAATGTGATAGGAAATGGCAGGAGCTCTGGGCGGGACTGGTGTTGGAGAAAGATGGTGTCTGGTAGCCCGGGTGACCTAGTAGACCAGCTGGAGAAAACAAAGGCCCTCCTTGATATGTCTATATTTGGCCACCTTATGCCTCTG